CGGACGTTGGAAAGTTATTATCAGCAGATCGGGAGAGCAGGGCGTGATGGTTATCCTGCAAGAGCTTATCTTTATTATAATGGAACGGATATCGCTTCAAACAAACCTGGTTTAACTGACGAAATGCGAGAGTATTGTCTATTACGAAGTGGTTGTATGAGAAAGTATATAATGAACTACCTGAACTCGGACACGTCTTGTGACATTTCGAAACACGAATGCTGTTCAAATTGTGCCGAGATTTGCCAATGTTCAAAGTGTATTCCCGTACAATATTTGACATGCACAACAGAGAATCTACATTCTTCATTTGATGAATCTTCCGTTCCCAAACCAGTTCGTGTGGTCAGCGATTCTAAGCGACGAGAAATTAAAGAAAGGTTACAAGCATACAGACTTGGCCTTTGTGATAAAATTTTTGGAGGTATCGACTTGAGGACTGGATTCACCCTTGCTCTTATTAAAGATATTGTTGCAAACTGTGAATATATTGAAAATGAGAATGATATATTAAGTTCTTATCCTGTTTGGGAAGAATCTCATGCGGAAAATATAATGAATATTATAAAACAATGTACTCAGTAATACTTTTCGGTAAGTGTATTTTATTTCGATTCATAAACGTTGCATGTTTATTTACACATTGATTTATTATTAAACATATACTTGTACGAAACCGAGAACTGAAATGAATTACCATATAGCTACGTAGCTAAACGCCAAAGCCCTCTACTTTTGTTGGAATCAAATATATACCATCCAAAATGTTAACTCAAGAGCATGTGGTTTATGAATACCATAATCTATATATTTAGTCCCCTCTATAGTAACCCCCCCCTCTCCTTATACAACTGTCTTCTAGCTATGTTCTTTGCCTAAATTATCACTGTTTGGCATGGATTGATAAACATCAGCCCCTCTCTTCTAACCCACTCACTAATAAGCTCCCTTTTTGGTTTGAAGAGAATAAGCCCTCAGCTTGCATGAGGTTACAGTATGCATGCATACAAACCTGTCAAATTCCCAACCTTACAATGATTATCATGTAGTCATATATGTACAATATTAATGTAAACTACACAACAAGTACAGTTGGCTCATTCAATCACCAGTTCAATTATGATACTTGCTTGTTTTGGTTTTGTCCTTTCCTATAACCAATCTTTTTTTTTATGGTCATCTATCCATGCATGTAATTGAGCAAAATCTATGTTAACAAGTGGCGAGATTTCAATATCTTTAAATGAATTATGGAATCGGCCAGGGTTCAAATTGAAAGGGTTTAATTTACGAAGATCTTTAAGCATCATTAATTCGTCATCCTGAGAACTTCTTGTTGAATGGTGCTGTGAGGGTTTATGAACATGTGTGACATTGTCAAATTGGTTGACAATTCTGTGCAGGCCTGCTGATGCTTTTGAGACTCTTGTTAAGTTTTTTTCTGTCTTGTTGACTCCCATGCTTTTTACTACTGATTTACTTATTCTGTTGCATATCTCTTGTGTGAGATCACATTCAACATTGTTACCACGGCCACCATTCCAGTTAACAAAGCGTCCCCAAGTTACACGGTGGTGAAGTTGCTCAGAAAACAATGCCTCAGATTGGGCAATTGCAGTGAACATCTCCAATGCATATTTTGTAAATTTGGTTGAAGACTTGAAGTAGAGCAACAGTTGTTTAATATTTATGTTGCACCTTTCTCCATCACCCTCGGCTGTTGTATCAATTAACTGCATTAGAAATACAGCAAGTTCGACAACGTTAAGTCCATAGTATCTATGAGAAGCATAAAGATTTATATAGTATTAAGACTAACAGATAAAAATTCATATACACATTGGAGCCAAAATCACACAAGTCCTAAATCTGATGATAAAATACCAAAATTAAGCTGTTTAATAATCAACAATTCTAATTGGTGAGGTGGAGGGTTTTGGCCATATCAAACATTTCAAGTAAACATTATTTTATCATTGCATACACATATTTATATGTACTACAGCATACCTCACTCTATCTGGTTCATTAATTGAATCACTTGATGAATCCAAAATATCCCCTTCATTATTTTCTGTGTTATTACTCACATAATTTCTGATAAATGACTCAACAACATTATCAAAGTACTCCCTTTTCTGATCTTTGCTTTTTAGATTGGAAGGAAGTGTGTTGGTTGTGGGAGTTGAATTGATATCGGCCATACCCCAGAATTGAAGTGCAGCTTCTAATATATATGCTGTTCCAACACTCAGAAAAAATTGTTCACAGCCTTCGTATGAATCGAGTACCTTCTGTGGCGTGACATTCTTCCGTGAATATTTCTCTCGGAAAAATTTTAATGTTCCAGATTCTCTTACAGAACAGGAATCAAAGAGCAAATCAAAGACAAACTATAAATGTAAAAAAAACACATATTTACAAAATATGGTGAAACAAACCCATTAAGCCATGGGGCTTCCAAGTAATATCATATGGCATTTGTCAAGAAAAATAAGGACCCACTGGGATGCATTGTACATCAATTGGTTAATGTTAACACAATTTCACCTGCAGATATGATGCTTTAGTATGCCAAAGTTCAATCTTAAATGGGCTACAGTGATCAAATCTGTCCTTTGCGGTGTGTGCGCCTGCTCGAAGATCCTTAGCACCAGCAAACCGGACTCTTGTTAATTGGTCACCACCAAATGGAACTGATATGCCTTGCATATGATCTGTGTTGTCCTCCTTTGTAACATGAGCTCCAGGTTGCTCTGGTCGTGAATGCCCAGATGAAATGCCGTTTTCAGGAGAATTATCTGATTGTCCTTTTTTGGGCTTCTGAATCACACCAGCTCTGGAATAAATATCTTCAATTGCATCTTCATATGAACTTAGGATGTCAACAGTGTCAGCATAGCTCTTTTCATCTTTCATTTGTATAGGTAATGGAACAATTACGGATTGTTTTGACATCTCATCCTGGTATACATGGTCAATATGGGTTGGAACAATCGTCTTGAAAGCACCAAAAGCTGGCAGATATTGAACCAATATCCTGCTTATAATAACTTTATAATCTTCCAATAATTTTTTGCTTTCAGCAACACTTAATAAAAATGAACTGTTTTCCAAAGTTTTAATATCATGTTTAGGAGATAAGGACAAATTGTCTGGTATAGGAACTCGTTCAAAAAGAAGATTTGATGCAAAATAATGCATATCTTTGTTCTGATGATCCTTTCTCATATCATGACATAATATTCGAAAATCCCAGTTGTCACCTGTCCCTTGCATCTTGCAACCATTCTTTACCATTGTGATTGCTTCATCTGCAAAATGACCTCCAATTTCATCTAGCAAATTGACTTTGCTTTGATGTGATAATGCAAATCCAACCTTTTGGCATCTGGTATATAACTAAAATTTTGATAATGTTGTAGTGTTGTAAATTTGCATTCACTGTACGTATTATGATATTTAGATATTCACTATCATTGTACTAGAGATTTTAATAATTTATGTGAACCTGACAATTTAAACACTTGCAACAATAGATATTTTACCTGTTTTTTTGCATTTCCTTCTGCCATGATCAAGGTATTGATCCTTTGAACAAGACTTAACTCATGATTGCGTTGTATCATCAATATAGCATATGCCATACCAATACAAGGTGCGAGCTCTGACTGTGTTTTCTTTTTTGCTGTGACAGTATTTAAAACACTCAAAAGAAATGGACATCTCTTCTGCAGTTCGTATACAATATTCAGCCAATCGAATTTAACTATGTCATCAAAACCATTATTTCGTAACACAGAAGGGTTTTTTCTTAAGCAAAGTTCCTTACATTGTTCATCAAGTTCTTTTAGCAATATTTCCTGACATGCTTGTTTAATTTCCTTAATAGACATTGCACATTGCCCAATGTGGGTAGGGAATCTAGATTTGAGTGCTCGGTGTAACTTCTCAATTTGAAGTGCGTTGAGGGGCATCCACTGACAGATGTCTAAAAGTAGTTTATAATAACACATGTTAGAAACATTAAACACATGGGGCTGCCTGTGTAAAACTCTTAATATTGATATGATGTGATAATTATTTAATTAGATATGAATATGTATATTTCTATGTATTTAATGTAACGCATCACATATTAAATGCACGTATCTAATAGTCATTTATAATAGAACGTTGATCAGCCCAAACGTTATAGTAATATAAATATAAATACATACTGAATTCGAAAAAGGCAGTTAATTGTTACTCACACTTGTATTATTATTACAAAGTGAAAGTGGGTCAATCTCCAAGTATACCATTTCGTGGCTTTTCGTATTACAATCGGTCTGACCACCGGTATGACACGTCGGTAACAATCCTAGTTGTTTGGCAGCATATGGCGTATCAATAGTTGTCGTCGAGTTCGTCGTTATGCGCTTCTTGTTAGTTTCTTCAGTGGGTATGATGCACCTCTTAACTGAAAATCGTGAATGTATGCAATCCTGGAAATTGTGCACTTCGTTCTTAAACTCAATGAATTTCGTAATTTTCCGTTCACAACATCGACAAATGAGTGGCGACATTTGGTCATTCTCGCATATCGAAACGCCGAGCGTATCAGCAATAACTTCGACGAGTTTCTTCTTCTGGCCAGGTTTATGAAAGACATTAATCATCCTATCATTTTTGTTTCCACAAAGGCGACAACCATCGATAAAATCACTTGATACATACACTTTTTTTGGCGTGTGCGCCGAGATGTTTTCACTGTTAAGCTTCGCCATATTGAAAAATATTTCGCGGGTTTTTATACTATTGGCCAATCACAACGTCGTTAACAACAAAACGAGTTAAATTGCTTCAACCAATCACAAAGCATTTTAGCTCAGCCTTTGCCAGGGCCTTCTCTCCACCTCGCCCCCTCCCCACCAAGGCCCTGGGAACGAGGTTGCCGACAGACGTTCTCCACCCGTTGAGTTTTATTCAACAACGATTTGACTCCATCGTTCAAAGACACTGAGAATATCTCTTGAATCAGTTGAATGGCTTGTAAGCTATGCAGCTTCTTCCAAAACGATAAACATTCGGTGATTGCGGTCTCAGGATAATCGAGATGTTCCACTATTTTTGAAACTATTCGTAGCTTCGCTGCAAAAAATTCGATCTTCGATACTAAATGCCTCATTCCAGAAAGCAGTGGTTGCTGCCTTGCGCGCTTCCTCGAATCTTTTTCTCGCAGTTTCTAACTCTCTGTCCGAGTTGATTTTAAGCTTTTTCCTGGCTGGAGGAAGCTCTATTGCTTGGTTTAAGATACCAGACAGAATAACGCTCGAAAGTTCACCTGGTTCGTCCTGAGTTTCGCTCTCTTTCTGCTAAAGATATGATTTATCGAGGGAAACACTGAGTAACTCTATTCCTTCTTCTAGAAAATTATAACTGGCGAGTGAAGTTGATCTAGAAAGGCCATCGATTTTAGACTTGATATCATTATAACTCGCGTACGACAATCTTACGAATTTCGCCGTCTTTCAGTTTGTCTGCCGTCGAGGCTATGACCTTATTCCATAATAAACCAAGTGTTGAACTGAGTATACTTGTCACAATTAAAGTCGTATCGCGTTTCTTATTAACTGTACCTAAAAATTAAGGCTTTATTAAAAGCATCTGCTAAAAGGTGAGGAGGCAAAACATCATTTAGAACCGAAGCTTCTTGAAGCGATACGAAAGCGTGCGTCGTGGTTTGTCTAGAACGTCGTGGCCTTTAACCTCTGGCTTTGACCGATGGTAGAAATTTGGTGGAGGAGAATTCGAGATTTGTTGTGACACTTGAAGATAATCTTGTTTAGGTGCTGACGTAGATAAACCAGGTGATTCGTCATCTAACAGGGAAATAGTTGGAATGGATTCCTTGTTTTCTGCACTTCGAACTCCGGAGCGCAAGAGTACATCGTCGGTAGGAATGTAAGCCATGAATGCTCTGATGTGCATCTTTCGTTCGTCTGATGACATGCCTTTCCAATCGGCATATGTTTTACGAAACATGTGGTAAGCTGGTGCTAGGACGTAAGGACCGTCATCATATATGGCTTTGACAACATTGCTAAATAAACGGATACTGCATGCTTTCAAGGCATCTAGGCACTCTGAAAGTGTCGCGTCTCGATGACTACGACCCTCTGAATGCACGTGGGCGGATATTTCATCTTTTGACAAGACGTTTTGCCACTCAATTGGATTTTGGCTGCACACTCCGTCAATGGAAGCTTGCTTTCGAACGTTTTTAATCATTTTGTCCCTCATTTGCTTCTCTTTATGAGTTTCAAAATAATCCACGAACTGACTCGCGGGACGATTGCTGGTGTGTTCCTTTTCTATTTGAAGCCATTTTGATTTCAGTTGCAATAGCTTACGGTTGTAAATATGAGTACTTTCGCTTCCGTATCTTCTTCTTTGCACGTGGCACCACCGAAAATATCACTCAGGATAATTTTTTTTTGGATTGAAGGAAAATTTAACGACTGCAATTTTTTATCTACATTTGCTTGAGCATGCTCTTTGCCCAAAAGGTAAATGGTCTTTCCACTCGTTTCCTTAAGAATCCCGCTAGAAAGTGCTTCGTCTTCATCTGTACCAAAAGCAAGGATGTTGGCAAGAGCCGGATTCCCTCTTTTCACTGCTTGCCAAAAATATGCGAAATCCTGCGCTGATTGATTTCGATGGATCAGAAATGGTCCTGGAAACCAGGGATTCCTTAAACTCTCTCTTCCAATTACTGACATCTGCTTGTAGGTCGTTTGTGTCACGAGATGATTTGCAATGTTTAATGTAGTGTCACAAGCCAAAGGCGTAGTAAACCTGGGATTTGCTGATGAATGCTTGATTTTTGTCAAGCAAATCTGGGTCCATTTCGTCAGCAGTGGGTCTTTGCTCAAGGAGTTTAAGGATAACTTCCTGAATTTGATCGATACTAGATCTGGTTTTTGTTTCCCCATACAAATAACGGTAATTATACAGCTGCTTGGTATCCCGAATAGTGGTTGACTGTAATGGAGAATCAAGTTAATTCAGATACTTCGATTTTTCGTCTTCAATAACCCTTGGGGCACGAACAACTGTATGAACCGTTTCTTTCACTTCTTTGTTGAGAGAGTGCTCTCTTGAAATAAAGGATTTGGCGTGCGGACGTGTTGTATTTCCATGCGCTGTTGCGACTACGAGGACGGCATTCCCGGTGTTAAAATAGTAATGCATGATAATCGTGGAACATTTCAAAGTATATGACTTCAAATTCTTTAGACGACTATAAGATTCATTATATTCTGCTATTAGCATAATAAATATGACATATCTTGTAAATTCCGTCTGATACATTTTCATCGTATTCTTATGCGTTGCTCTTTTTCTAACTACAGCGTACAAGAGCTCCTTGCCTACGATCTGCCGAACCCAATTTCGAGCATCGCGGACGTCGCAGGTACCACCAACGATAATGCCATTGTCGTCTTTGTTCACCGAGACCTCTGTCCGTAACCTTTAACTTCATAAAACCTAGTTTGCTATTTTCTCATAGTACCCAAGTGTTTCATAAGTTTCGATATCAAACAGATGCTTTACTTTTGCAAGTTTTGTGCCGACAACGAAGGTTGAGGTTGTGAGAATGCTTGTTGGCTTGATTTCTGCCTTTCGGTCTGCAGGAATATCCTTTTTTAAACAGATCTGGAATATTTTTTTAATGTCAGGGCTGGAATGACTGTAAATTGGAAGCCTTTTATCACCCCTGTAATGGACAAGATTAGGCAAATCAATGTCAAATGAGTAAGACGTATTATCATTTTCACTGTTCTCATGAGTTGACTGATTCGGGATCACTGGAAAATGTGATAATTTTCTTCGCTGTTTCCTCTTTTTATTGTTGGAAAAAAGATTTCATCGTCCTCCGTGAGATCCACAGTTTAGTTCTCTCGCGCTTTTTTCTTCTTTTCGTCGTTTCCCGATAAATTAGTTTTTCTTTTGGACATCTAGAAAAGCGGGTCATTTTTGTTATGTAAGTGCTCCTGTTTCTGCTTTTTTCTAGTCAGATGCCTTAAAACAGTTACGCATGTAGTTAAATATTAGTTTTGGATAGTCATCTTGATTACTGATGATTGACATTCTGCATGACCCTTACCATGACCAAATTAGTTAGTAGATAATAATACCTTGTCACTTGAAGTACACTAGCTCACCGGCTGATAATATTTTCATATTGTGTTCAACTCCATTCAATAATTGTTAGTATTATGCTAGCCTCATCGAGTAATTGTATAAAGTATTATAGGAAAAATTAAACCTTGAAATAACCTATTGGAATAAACTGTCCAAAATTAAAGGCGTGTGCATGTGAATCTAGAATTCTCCATTACAATTTACATAAACAACGTGTCATATATTAAGGTAATGTTTCGCGAATATTTCACTCAATTTAAAATAAAACATTTGCTAAAAAAGGATTTGGTGAGATCCTGAGGGGAATTCCCCTGTCTCCCGGTTCTCCCATTCCACTGTTCCCTGTTCCCCGGAAAAAGTCTTGTGCAGCCCTACTTCGATTACTGCTCGCCCCTGTGGGATACTTGTGGCAATCTGCTCAGAGATTTCAATTTAGTTGCAAAGAGTTCAGTTTCGTGCACACAGCAAAAATTGTCATTCTTGATTTAAGAAAAAAAATGCTTGCTTTGAGCAAAATTTTGCTCAAAGCAAGCAAATACATTCTTGTCCGTATAGTAAGAATATTATTCTTGCATAGAATATTATTCTTGTTTCAAGAATTATATTCTAGGCAAGAATATTTGTTCTTGATACAAGAATATATTCTTGATATAAGAACATTTTTTCTTGCGAGAATAATCCTAGAATGCAAGAACATTTTTACTTGTTACAAGAAATTTTTTTCCTAAATTAAGAACAATGAGAAAGCACGTATTCTCAAAATAAGAATCAAGGTTAAGAATATATTCTCAATTTAAGAAAGGGTTTTTTTGGGTGCAGGTGCGCGGTACATGCAGAAATGCTTAATATAAATATAAATACTGTTTTCATTCAAGAACATCGTAGTTCTCTTTAGAATTTATTAATATATTCTGCTAAAAGCACCAGACAAAACCAATTTCTACACTAATACAAAAGGCCAAAAAGTAAGTTACACAAAGTGCATGCAAGTGCAACCAATATGCGCAAAGCGCATTTTGTTTCAATTAAACCTGACATTCAGTTCTACACCGTACTGTTCAATTCATAGCTAGAAGAGCCAGAGGGCTTAGGCATTCCATAACAAACGGCAATGATGAGGCAATGATGGCAAACGTGATATGTTCGAATTGAATTGCATGATAATTTGTTTGAGGCCGCCGGAATGAAAATAAAAAGCGAAGAAATGATGCCCAAATTTTATGCAAAAAATCAACTCAGCCTGTCTTCAAATGCGAAGCTTAAGCCCTCTATTTCTTGAAAATGTATATTAACCTATCACACATTGCATTAAAGTTTAAAAATCGTCAGATGAGTTCTGCTTGAACTTCAAGTAATCCTCTTTGGCAGACTCAAATGAGTTATACAGGTCTGCAGGGGTGTTCATATCGTGAAATAATAAGCTGTGGAGCATAGTTAGAGCTAGCTCATGGGATTTTGGATAATCCACATCAATAAGATAAAATAATCCGATTAATGCCAGGACTGCTTGCATTATATTCCTTAGTTCCACTGTGAAAATAAGGGTACCTTGGCAGACGAGGTAGGCTGATGTCTTATCCAGACATAACAAAGGAATACCTTTACCTTGTCGTCGGCTACAAACTGTCTCTGGATCCTCGTGATCCTAAATAGAAAAACATTAAATGAAACATTTTCATCATAAGCAAAGGCCGTGTAGCATGCCAATAATGATTACTTCTCTTATTCCGCTATCAAAGTAACAATTACCTTAATCACATAAATAAGCTCAATGAGCTTCTTGGCAGACTTATTTAGCTTTCCATTGCCAAACAACAAGTGCAAATTCTTCATAAGCTGTACAACTTTGGAAACTGTAACAATAAACATTTTTATTCTTAGTCATTGTGCACAATAAGAAATGAACAATGCATACAGCACAGGCACAACACAACTGTTCATATATCTTACATACTGTATAAGCAATTGCAAAATGACAGATTTTGAAATATATACACTTACCTTTTCCAGGTTTTTTAGGGAGCTCCATCCTTTGCTTTGAGCAACCAAAATATAACATTACATCCAGCTCTTCTTCCAATCTCATGACACATTCATTCATAAATTTCTTGGGATCATTATTGGCAGCTTTTTCATTAATCCGGCGCACCTCTTCAATAATCTAGCAAAGATATGTTTTAACATCATATGTTTTTCGTCTGATGTTACATCATATAGCAGTGTCTATGATCATTCTTATCACAGATCACAGACATTAGATGTTGTGAATACAAAAATAGGATGCATTGCATGTACCATAATGTGCATAACAGCCAATAAGTTTTAAAATTCAGAGGGAATGGGTTTGTTTGAAATAGCATACTAATAGAGTAACCTAAATTAAATGTTCAAAGCCAGTGTATTCTGAAAAAATAAACAGCCTACCTCTACAGGGTTTTTAAAGCATGGATACAGCTCAAACAATCTTGGGCATCTTTCTGTTGCTGGCATTTTCTTGATACGGGCTCGTCTCGATTTAAACTCTTGGTTTAAGTATGAATTAATTACATTGGGCGATGGCTTGCTTTTTTGCATCTCTTTTGACAAAGAATTGTATAATCTGCCCATAATCATATCATCCATGCCACTGACAGATGACTCTGAACCTGAAAATAAGAAACAATACATCAGCGAAGCCGATAAGGACATGCATTCATTACTGTAAGGACATGAATTCAAAGACAAATGGACAGACAGTACATACATACATAGATTGTTGTTTCTACTTACTGTTGCTACTTCCAGCTTCAGCATTGCTCTGCTGTTCACCAGTGCTAATATCAGTCATCATTGGATCTACATCGTTGGATTGCTGGTCTTCTGGACATTCAGTGGTTTTAATATAACTGGTTATCTTGTTGCTGGCTTTTTTCTTATTGGGCCCCGCTTGTTCTTCAACTGTCTTCTTGTTATACATTCTCTTCTTCAGGCGGTTAAATAAACGTTCCTGAAACAAGGAAAATCTGTTATAAATAAAAACTCAATATCTCCAGTCCACAAGCCAATTCACATTATTGAATAGACCTGTTGTGTCAAAGTTAACATACAACATATAGAATACTGGTAAATATGTAGTAGCTTATCACAATATTTATATATAACGCTTACATGGCCATTCACTGGATCAGATAGCAATGGATACGTCACAACAAGACTTTTTGCCATTTCCTTCAGCTCCATTGTAGTGGGCAATCGATTCCATGGGTCACACAAGGTCATGGATATCATGTTGCTGACTGTTCCCCGCACAATGTCATGGACCAAATGTTCTGGTATACTACCACTTTCCACAGCCAAGTCAACCCGTCTGTCACGGTATATAGTGAAGACTGGGGATTTCACTTGAAATGTTGCTGGTGGGGTTGCTGGAGTAGGCTTTGCTCTTTTTGTTGAAGGCCCGGCTTTTGTAAGGCCCTTATCATCTGTTGATGATGATGATAAAGTATCATCTTCTGACAAGTCAATATGATTATCCACACAGACTGCCATATCAATTTTTCGCTTTTCGACCAAAGCCTTTGTTGTTGGATGAGATTTATCAGTTGGTGCTTTCTCAGTTTCCTATTACAAAGTATATTAAAATAATTATATAGTCTAGTCAAAAATAATATTCTCTGTTGACTCTCACTTGATACTGAATACATTAACATTTTAAAAGATTGTATTAACAAAATTATTTTATACCTGAGATATTACTTTCCAGATGCGTGACCGCAGTAAAATCAATTTCATGCCATCGCCTGGAATAATTTCCTTTAATGCATCATAACACAGTTCCTTGACATCTTCATTTGTGAGGCCACCCTCTGAAAATAATACACAGGTTAGAAAATATAATGTAAACTACACACGCATACAAATGTTCTTAAATTTAGCAACACATGTTTATAAATTTGCATGGGCAGCCAAATCTAATTTATACCATCCTGGGGCCGGTTGTTCGTAAGGCGTTTAACTTATGTCGAAATTCTAAAATACAGGGTGTCCAAGACCATACAATAGCTGGAATTGAATGCCTAAGCACCACAAGTGGATAAATAAATGTTTGACATAAGCATTTTTATGTATGATACAAGGCAGTGAAATTTGTTTGTATACCCACAAATGACTTTTAATACCAATATGCTTTACAAATATGGATAACAATATTTCAATTTAGAACTTAAGCAACATGTTAATCTCCACAACCACTAACAATGGGTGATTTTAATAGTTTTGGGGGGTTTTTGAGTACATCTTGTGAATGACTGAACCTACATTTTATGCATATAAATGATATAATATGTATAACCATTGAAAGTTGAGCTATTTGTCCAATAAAGAGATCATTTTGCTTTCCATTTTCAGCTTATCCTAAACGCCTTTCGAACAAGCGGCTTATTTAGTACAGGCCCCTGGGCTGAAATTATCCATTTGTCCTTAGTCTATTTTTAGATTCAAAATGTGACCCGTGCGAATATAAACAGGGGACCCCCGAATATGACAAAATGAAGTGCTTTTAATTCTATAAAATATGACATAGCTTTCTCAAAGAATTGTTCCATTTCCATTTATAATAGCTTAGTTTACACTCGATCGCAGAAAATATACTTTATCTGTCAATTCGTAATGATACGAAGCAAGTTAGGCGCACAAATCTGATTGCATTACGATGACGGAATCGGTATGAATATTCGTTTATATCGCGGCAAAATTTAAATTTGTATCGCGTTGCGAATTCAAACATATGTATGCGACGACAATTCTTAACTATTATAACATAAAATAAGAACATATACTTACCCTTTAAACTATCTGCGACGTCTTTATCAATCTCGGCAATTTTCCCTAGTAAATCGTTCGACATTTCTGAATTTCTTGCGATAACAAACTTCGGAGCGCGTGGTAAGTGAAGTGGGAGTAAGCCAGTAACATGAGAAATGCGCCGCCGCACCGCCTGACCAGCGAACTCTAGACCCAACATGCTTTGCAGGGATGATTTTATAATTTGGAAAACTTCAATTTCAATTTTCAAAGTCTCTGTTATTTTACAACTTTGTTGCGAGGAATTTTCGGTTAAGAATATGCTTTTAAAATGAAAAGACACCGTCATACAAATGAAAGGCGCTGGGAGTGTAGATTGTGTAATTGTTTCCAAGCAATTTCACTACGAACGTTGCTTAATCACTATAATAAAGTTCATGGAAATGAGCCTAATTTTCAAGTAGTTTGTGGCATCGAGAATTGTCCAGCAACATTTACGAAATATAATTCGTTATACAAGCACATCACCAGATCTCATAAGGAAGTCTACGATGGAAATATTGAGGATAACGCTGACGCTGAATTTAACAATGAGGATAATATCGATGATATTGATCACCACTTCACAGTTGAATCAGATGAGAGCAGTAGTGCTGAAGAATTGGAATTGGAAATGAATATAGATGAGAACCAGGTACCTATATCGTTACTGTAGCAAAGAAGATTGTTGTCTTTACGAACAAACTTACAATATTCTATCATAACAAAGTGCTTTGACTTTGCAAACCATATTGAAGTGCTCTAGTTTATGAAACTCTTGCCATCCCTGCATGAAATGTCAACAGTTCTCGTACAAGTTGTTGATGGCATGTTGAATATAGCAGTGGTATAGATAGAATGATGGCAGTTTTTACTGTGCTGTCCAGTGAATTATCTAAATACATGGTATCTCTTCACAAAACATAACACATGTTCTAGCCAATTAAAGATGATGCAATGGTTTGAACTAGATATACTCTCTGTGAAGACTATTATAAGCTTTCAATATAGCACCTGGCAATTGTGCTAAAGAAATATCTTGCATCAGGCTTATTTTTGCATTTGGTTTCCACAAGTGTTCATTGTACAGTACTGTCTAGTAATATTATGTGCACAAACCAAGTAGTATGATTAATTAAGTGTAAAATATTTTATGTGATTTTAGAATGTTGACAATATTGACATTACAAAGAGTGCTGCCTCATTTCTCTTAAAGGTGAAAGAAAGGAATAAAATACCTCAGGTGTGTATAAATATTTATTGATGAAACTTTGGTGCAGTATAGTATACCCAACCTATGTCCCTGTTTGAATAAACTAATTGGTAAATTGCTTCTAATTCAAATTGAATCTTAACTCTGTATTCCTTATTTTGTAAAGTACATAGCATGATATATAATCTCTCCTTGAAGAGTCAAATTGTGTGGTTTTAGAAAAACTGTGTACGCCTCATATAATATGATACTACATATTAATATGTTTTAGGTTGCAATGGATCTATAATGGACAGTACACGCACACTGGTAAAGCAAGTGGTAGATTCTGTGAAAGCGGAAGTTTTAAATGTGTTAGATTCCAGTGAACAAAAAGGCCAGGTGAGAAATGTGTTTGAGTCAGCTACAGATCCTTTTTCTGGGATAGAAACCGAAGCACTACAGTCAAAGTACATCAAGCAAAACTTCAGTTATGTGGAACCAAAGGAGGTAACTTTAGGGAAGAAATTTGTTTGGAAAATAAACAGTGGTAAGAGACTTATTTCTGAGAAAAGTGAGAAATTTGTGTACATTCCAATACTTGAAAGCATAAAACAGATCCTCTCAAATAAGCGCATCTCTACTTTCTTCTGAAGAAACCTAAGTGCTGTCAAGATGGAGTATTTATGATGTACATGATGGCCTTTTGTATCAAAGTGATCACTTTTTGATGAACACGAGAACACATTGTGCATTGTATTGTATCATGATGAGCTAGAGGTGTTGTAATCCATTAGGCAGTAATGCTGGGGTACACAAGCTAGACATGTACTATTTTACAATTGCCAATTTATGTCCAAAGTTCAGATCCAAGCGCTGTGCTGTCCACTTATTTGCAATTGCCAATGCTGATTTGGTAAAGAAATATGGTATTAACACAGTAATGCAGCCAGTTATTGATGATTTGAACATTCTGTATCAAGGATGCAAAATGGAGATCAATGGTGTGGAAAAAGTTATCCATGGGAAGGTATTATTGTGTGCGGGTGACACACTTGGTCAGCATTATTTGGGCGGATTCAAAGAAGGTGTTGGTGTAGCTTTCCAAAAATGTCGGCATTGTCAGTGCTCATTTGAACAGATGCAGACTGACTTCTTGGAAGAAGAGTTCAATCTAAGAACAAAGGAAAACTACAGTGAACAGTTTGATGCCATTGAACAGGCACCAACTCCAAGTGTCCAAAAAGATCTAAGAACGACTTATGGACTAACACAGAGAAGTTCCCTTTGGCCAGCTACCCACATTTGATGTCACACAGCAGCTCCCCCAGGATATCATGCACACTCTGCTTGAAGGAGTTGTGCAGTATGAGGTTCGACTAGTTCTTCTTCATTACCTACAATCGGGTCAAACCAGTCTATCTGAAATCAATGGAGCAATATTATCCCATGAATATGGATACTCAGAGATCAGCGACAAACCAACTCCCCTGAAGGATACTGTGTTTCATGTGTGAAGAAAGATACAAGCTTAAGTACAATGCTGCAAAAGCTCGCCTATTTTACGACTCTTGCCATTTTTCATTGGTCCTTTTGTTGACAGCAATGGTCCGCATTACCAGTTCCTCATACAATTGATTCAGATTGTTCAATTGATTTTCTCACCAGTAATTAAATTGGAGAACATTGACTACTTGGCAGAACTTATCCAACAACATCTGACCACATTTAAAGATTTGTTTCCAAACTGTAACATAATCCCGAAACAACACTATTTGCTCCATATCCCGTCTACAATTAGAATGCTTGGACCAATGGTTAGATCTTCCTGTTTCAGTTTTGAATCTGCTCATAATTATTTTAAAGAGTTGGCAAGAAAGCAGAATTTCAAGAATTTGCCATTGTCATTAGCTAAGCGCCATCAGTTCAATTTGTGCAGCAACTATGGTGATTCAAACGAGAACCCAAGCTCCCATCCACTGTTTTCAACAGAAAGGGAATATGGTGTGCTAAAGAAGGCAGGTGCAGAAGTATGTTTGTCCTTGCGAGAAAGATTTGATGAACATGGCCTTCTACCCTCCATTGAAATTGTGAATGTTTACAAAGTAAGTTGGATAAAGCTTTTTGGAACAAAGTTTGCCAAGTCTGGTATTATTGCTATTGATGTTGCTGGAGACCCTGCATTGCCAGTTTTTGGAGTCATTGTGTGCATATGGTCAATTCTAGACTTACATACTTTGATGTACAATTACTTGAGACATTATCTTTCGATGAAAAACATCAAGCTTATCGTGTTTCTGAGAGTACAGAAGATGTTACTGGAATTTATCCCTATGACAGTCTAGTGGACTTTAATGTCTTTCATTGCAAGAAAGATAAAGAGAATAATAAGTATGTTGCAGTGAAATATGACCTTCGTGACATCATTGAGGAGCATATGAAGGACGAAATCCTCTTCACTAGTGACTGGTAAGAGTTTTTAGAAAAAATTTTGAATTGTACATAGTATCTTGCATGAAAGAGGCAGTCAAGACTATGTTGCTCATACAGTAATTACAATTTATGTTGCCAAATGTCACATTGTTTCAAGATTGTATGTTCTATTTTGTACATATATGTTGCCATAGCTATGTTTGATCTCTAACAAAATATAGTGTGCTTTTGAAGATGGAACATGAATAAACTAAAAATCCCATTATCAGTAAAATAAGTCTTCAAAATGCCTGAACGCTATACTAATAAAATTTGAGCATCTTTAAATGCTAAGTGTCTGACTTTTAAAAAACTGTATGGAGCCACCTTAAATGAAAACTAAATAGCAGGTAGAACTAATTTACTAAATTTAAGAATGAGAATAAATTTGTTAGAACATTATTCTTGTTTCAAGAAAGTTATATTCAATACGCTCTTATTTTAAGAATTTTATATACTCCCCAAATTTACTTGATTCTTGTTTCAAGAATGTTACATTTCTTGTGAGAATATTATTCTTGTCGTATTCTTATTTCAAGAATTTTGTGTTCTCCACAAATTTACTTGATTCTTGTTTCAAGAATGTTACATTTCTAGCAAGAATATTATTCTTGTCTCAAATTTACTTGTCTTGTTTTAAGAGAAATAATTCTTAGCAGAAATATTTTTACTTATTTCAAGAATTTCAAATTGATACTAAGAATAGCATTTCTCAAAATAAGTAATATTTTACTTAAAACAAGAATTTTGCAAGAATATTTTTCTTGCAAGAATATCCAATTTTGCTGTGCAGCGAGGGTTTTAACAGTGCAAATTATGAACCTCTTGAAACTAGACGGTCTGGTGCTAAGTCAGTATTAATGTACAAGATACTTAATAACCATACTGCGCCCGCTCTTCGGGAGTCTTTCGTAAGAAGAGAAATAGGATCCCAAGGCCGAATCGAGAATACCTTAAAAAAGTTTCAAATATAGCCGCGCTATGCTTTGGAATCGGCTCACAAACGAAGCAAAATCAGCTGAGTCGCTCGTTAGTTTAAATCAATTGTTGTTGCACACTGAAATGCGTCCTAGTTACCTGTGTGTGAAACCTATACTGTATTCTTATTACTGTCTTAATAATTAAACACGCCCCTCGTGGAAATCAGCCTAGAGTTGATGGGGCTGGCATGTTTCTTGCGATTTCCACGTTTTCATGCGATTTCCACTTCTGTTCGTGAGCTTTCGTTCGTGTTCATAATTTTTTGATTCCTGTTCACTCGTGTTCGTGATCTTTGGTTCGTGTTCATGATTTTTTGACTCGTGTTCATTCGTGTTCATAATTTTTTTATTCGTGTTCACTCGTGTTCGTGATCTTTGGTTCGTGTTCATGATTTTTTGACCCGTGTTCACTCGTGTTCATTCGTGTTGATGATTTTTTAACTGGTGTTCACAAGCGTTCATATTTCTTGAGTCGTATTCTGACTCGTGTCCACTGGTGTTCATTCGTGTTCACTCGCGTTCTGACTCGTGTGTTGTTTTTGAACAGATCATGGCAAGAATCGAACCTACGCTTTTGCGATGCCGGTGAAATGCCCTTGCCATTGAGAACGTATATTTGACTCATTTTTCCATCCACTGTTCCTGGCTTGAATTTGAAGTGTGTATAATACCACTCGAAATTAAGACCTTTTAACCTATTTGATTCTTGATAATACAATCGCGTTCTTCCAACAGCTCCGTTTTAACCGTGTACTTAAGGGTAGACGGCTTGGTAAAGGAGACAATAAAACCTGACACGAGTGGGTCATTTTGGTATGACCAAAGCTGGTTCAGGATACTTAGAACATATCATCGTCGTCGTCATCATCATCTCTGCCTTTGTTTTCCTTCACATGTTCACATCGTTTAAAAACTTCTTAATAAGAAACTTTCGCTTATCAACGGCACCTTCTATTGCTTCTTCTTGGTCAAAATCATCATTTGTAATAAACATATTTTCTTATGTACCGGATCTTTCTTCAGTTGTCTCATCCACAAATGGCGCTTTAAATAGATATTTTCTAATTCTTCCTGGAGTCTAGCATGGCATTGAAGTAAGCTTTCTTTTTAGCATAGTGCTCATCAAAACCACTGTTTATAAGGCTTTCTTTCATTTCCTCGAATACTGTGTTACTTCTATGTTATGCTTCTTCTATTAACGGCATCCAGGGATCCAATTCTTCTTCACATTCTGAGTCCGTTGTCGTCGAACTTCCAGATTGCTGAGTGGAAGTGGTCGAGACATCATCTTGGAAATCACTTTCTTGACTGTCCGAGTCTGTTTGAGACATGTTTCTTTCTTGTTCTCGTAGTAGGCAATACTCCCGTTCGGGTTGCGCTGATTGTAACTGCGGCTGAAATATCTTCTGCAAAATTGGCAGCTCATCCCCTTAGCACTAGAAGTGTGTAAATGCCTTGTTATCGAGCAGCAACGCAGTTTTATGAGCAGATGTCTGCTCATGTGTAGTTATGAGGATGTGCTAATCTGCTCAACGGTACTTTTTCCTAGTCCAGTACATTCACACAAACTAAAATGTTAGCAATCCCTTATGTACTTTCTTCGTTTCCCCCTAGATAGAGGTTGTTCGTTTGCAGTGCTTAGGTAAACATTAAAGTTTCTCTCCATCTCTTCTTGATAATAAATTTCTCTCCATCGCGCTCTAATAAATTTTCCAGACACTCCTCCATATCGAATTCCTTTGGTTCT